CTCATTTAAAAGTGTCTTACAATGTTTGAAACCTGTTTTAAATGGTTGGAATAGTTAGTCCACCTTGTGAAACCTATGCACACTGAGTTTGGCTTTGTTCTGAGTCTTCGTTAATTTTTGGTGATTTTTTGTTTTTCCCCTTTAAATCCATTGAAAATTCAATGGATTTAAATGGGGAAAACAAAAAATTGCCAAAAATTAACAAAGACTCAGAACAAAACCAAATTAAGTTTGCACATGTTTCACGAGGTGCACTACCGAATCCAAGCATTTAAAATAGGTTTCAAACATTTTAATACACTTAAAAATGAGCGAAAACAGACATCGGAAAGCCATTCAAAAGCACTGAAGCCGGCTTCAGTGCTTTTGAATGGCTTTCCCTTGGGGGAAACATTGTTTCACTTAGCGATGTTTCCTATGGGGATTTTCGCTTAAGGACGGCAATCCGTTCCCATTGGAACAGATTAACCGGTTTTCAATGCATTCCTATGGGAAATGCTGTTTCGCTTAACAATGTTTTCCCATAGCGATGTTTTTTTTAACCAATTAACATCGTTGAGCGAGGCACCACTGTATATTGGATTTATTCCATTTCCCCACCCATCAGAGAATATATTTTCAAGTCATTTGAATAGCAAAGAGCAAAAGCTGAGTAGAAATAAAGGAATGGTGCATAGGCCCACCTATTTTTGATAACTGTGCATTCCTGTATGTGTACCTGTGTGTACACTCTCAAGAGATGAAGCCAGTCCCTCTGGCAGTGGGCTCATGTAGGTATGTACAATTGAAGAGAACTGACATGAATTGACCTATGTATGCAACAGAATAAGATGGTAGAATGGGTAATATTTCAGACTCCTAGGGAGAGTGGGGAATCATATGTTTAATATTCCCTGTGTTATAGCTGAATTATTTTTACCTGTCTTGTAGGACAAATCCTCAAAGGGAAGCTTAGAGTAAAAATATTAAACACACAGCAACAATGGAATAAATAACATGTAATGAAATTGGTCGCAAAAAATATGTATAGGGGGTGGCAATAACATCAATAAAATTTTACTGAAATTTTAAAATACTACTTCAAAGGTCAAGGAATAGACATCAAGTGGAGTTTTCCAGACAGGAAACCATACAAGAAGGAAGGAAGGATCTCTCTGTAAGTAGAAAGCTAGCGTAGCACAGTGAAGGATAGTGGTATAGTATTTTCTTTTTGCAGGAAATATGACTTTTTTCCTTTTTCTAATTGCAGAAGCATTTGAAAATATTAGTTTCCATTTGAAAGCTGAAGTGGAAAAGATATCAGACTAAAATCCAAGCAGCTGTACCATTGTAGATTGAATGACAGAACCACTCACTGTAAACAAAATTCAGTTATTGTTGAACACAGGAGATTTTTTTGTGTTTTGTCCTGAATTTCCTGACAATCAGATCCATTTTTCCAAACTAAGAACCAATAATACAGCCTTTTCTTGTTGAGAAAACACTCCACTGCCAAATACCATGTTAGTTATTTTTTCTGCATATGCCCAACTCTGCAGTATTCACAAGGAAATTACATAACAAAAGTTATATTGTATTCTTGAAGGCTTTCACGGCCGGGATCCGATAGTTGTGGGTTTTCCGTGTTAAGAACATGGCCAAACAGCCTGGAAAACCCACAACAACCAAAACTTATATTATTCTAACCGCAAGCACCCTTTGCAGTATTATGATATTGGCAGTATTATTTTGATCCTTTCCTGATAATCCCTAGATGGTTAAGATTTTAATTCCCAACACACATCACTTTATACTTACACTGAACTGCATTTGCTATTTTGTTGCTCTTTTCAAGTTCTTTGTAGTTCTCTTTGGTTTTCAGCATTCTAAATAATTTGTTAACATGAGCAAATTTAGCTACATTACAACTCACTCTAAGTTGTCTGTGACAGCCATTCCATAAGGAGTAGGGGCAGGGGAAATAGTCAAGGAGCACAACTGGTCCATTGTTCCTACAGAGAGACCAGCTGCCTTTCGCCTTTCTGCAAGCATCACATAGCAGTACCATTTTGGTATGCTGTATGAGGGTTTTTCCCCCATCCACATTGCTTGTTTTAAGAATTGTAATTTTAGAAAGGGGCACTTGAACTTTTTTTTTCCTATCCCTTTTTCTCCTTTCCTGTTCCTTCTCTGTCACATCTTGTAGACTGTAAGTGTAAGGACAGTGAAGGTCTTACTGCTGATACTTGTAAACTAACAAATAATTTCTTATCT